TTTCCATCTTATTGGCATATAGGTTCTTGAAGTAGGTATTGATGATCCTCTGGATTTCTGCTGGTTCTGTTGTAATTTCACCCTTTTCATTCCTAATTGCATGGATTTGGGTCTTTTCTTTCCTTTTTCTGCTAAGGTTGCCTGAGGGTTTGTGAATTTTGTGTATTCTTTTGAAGAACCAACTCTTGGCTCCATTGGTTTTTTGTATCATTCTCTCAGTATCCATTGAATTGATTTCTGTTGTGATCTTTATAATTTCCACCCTTATATGAGCTTTGGGTTTGTCCTGCTCTTCTTTTTCTAGAAGCTTGAGCTTCAGCGTCAGGTTGTTTATCTGGGCTCCCTGTGTTTTACTAATATGAGTATTCACTGCTATGAATTTCCCTCATAAACCGCTTTCATTGTGTCCCATAGATTCAGATACATTGTATTGTCATTGTCATTTAATTGTAGGAACTGTGTGATTTCTTCTTTAATTTCCTCTGTGACCCTTTGGTTATTCAGAAGTGTGTTGTTCAGTTTCCATGTGTTTATGAAATTCTTGCCATTTCTTTTGCTATTGATCTCCAATTTCATCGCACTATGGTCTGATAATATACAGGGGAGATAACATCAATTTCTTTGCATCTACTTAAACATGTTCTATGAGTGAGTATGTGGTGTATTTTGGAGAACAACCCGTGTGCAGCTGAAAAGAATGTGTATTCTGATTTTGTGGGGGTGAAACACTCCATAACATCTGTTAAGTTCATTTGTTCAAGAGTTTGATTGAGTTTTGTATTTCATTACTTATTTTTTTGCCTAGTTGATCTATATTTGTGACAGTGAGGTACTGAGGTCCCCCACTACTATTGTATTAGTGCACATATGACTTTTCATGTCCGCTAATATTTGTTTTATATACTTGGATGCACTAGCATTTGGTGCATATATATTTATGATTGTCATCTCTTCCTTTTAATTTGTTCCCTCTACAAGGATGTAGTGTCCTCCTTTGTCTCTCTTAATCAGGCTTGGTTTGAAATTCACTTGATCTGCAAAGAGGATGGCTAGTCCTGCTTTTTTTCAGGTTCCTGTCCCATGGAGTATTGTTTTCCACCCTTTTTACTTTCAGTCTATGAGTTTCTTTTTGAATTAAGTGTGTTTCTTGTATGCAGTATATTGTTGGATTTTGCTTCTTGACCCATTCTGCCAGTCTATTTCTTTTGATTGGTGAATTGAGACCATTGACATTGATGGTTATAACTGAAACGTATTGACTTATCATTGTCATGAGTTTTTCTTTTTGTTGGATTCTCCCCCTTTGCATTTAATTTCTTGTTGTGCCCGATGGATTCATTCTTCTTTGCTTCCTAGGGTTGTGATCCTCATTGTGTTTTCCTAGGATATTGTGTAAAATTTTTTGGAGTGCTGGTTTAGTATTCATGAAGTTCCTAAGGTGCTCTTTTTCCTGAAAGTATCTTAGTTCTCCATCAATTTTGAAAGATAGTTTTTCAGGGTACATCCATCTGTGTTGGAGGCTGTTTTCCTTTAGCAATAGAAATACATCACTCCAAGCTCTTCTTCCCTTGATGGCTTGTGTTGAGTAGTCTGCTGTCATTCTGATGGGTTTTTCTTTGTATTTGATTTGTTTCTTTTCTCTCACAGCTTGTAGAACTTTGTTCTTCTTTTGGGTTTCTGGAATCTTAACAATTATATGCCTATGTGTAGATTTTTTTTGATCAAGAATAGTTGGAGTCCTATATGCCTCACTTATCTGTATGTCATGTTCTTTTCCCCTGCTTGGGAAGTTTTCTGCCATCACTTCTGTGAACAGTTTTTTTTATGTCATCTGCACTCCGTCCTGTTTCTTCAGTGACTCCGATCATTCTTATGTTATTCTTCTTTGCATCGTCTAGCAGCTGCTGGGTTGATTCCTTTTGGTCCCTTTCAATTTTAAAGCAATTTTTCTTTTCCTGATCACTAATTGCAATCTTATCTTCTGTATCTGAAATTCTGTCCTCACATTGGTTCATTCTGCTGCGTAGATTTTAATGGAGTTTTTAATCTCCGGGAAATCTGTTTGCATGTGTTTTATGGATTCCATTTGTTTCCTGTGTTGGGATTCCACCATGTTCCTCAGTACCCCTCTAGATTTATTAATCATGTCTGGCACTGTGAGCACAGTCTCTGCTGTTATGTGAGAAATTATTTCTGATTTCATTTTTTCCAGATCCTCTTTTGTTTCCAGTTCAGGGAGTCCAGGTGGTTGAGTATTAGAGTGTTCCATGTCATTTCCCTTTGGGGTTGCTATAGGTGATCTGGAAGTCTGGTTTTGAGACTTATTTATATTTCTTCTCATTTCGATGCGGGGGAGGGGTTGTATTCTCCTGGCACCCGCGTGGCTCACCTTCTTTCTGCTGGGACCGGTGGTATGGCGACCCCGAAGCCGCCTCCTCCACCTAGAAATTTTTTTAACGTTAAGGTTTAATTACAAGCTTTTGTTATGATTAGCTGTAAGACTTTCTAGTACTGTATATTCCTCTTCCATTGACCTAAACTGGTAGTTTCGATGTCAGTTACTTTACAAAAAAAGGAGACGTTGAATTCCATTTGAGGAAAAGTGATATTTTTGTTTGGCAGAAGCCAGCTCTGTCAGTATCCTTGACACTAAGTGTATCACTGTGTCTTTCTGTTCTTCAGGTTCGCTTGGAATCAGATGGAAAGTATTATAATGCTCATATTCAAGAAGTTGGAAATGAGAACCATTCAGTAACTGTTTTCATTGAAGAACTGGCAGAAAAGTAAGAATATAAGAATTTATTAAATTACTAAAATCATTGGCTTCTGATGCCTTTTCATAATACCGAGAATTACTAGGATGCTAAAAAGAGAATCAGTTATCTTGGGTACTGGCCTAATTATCTTGAAGTATAAAAGCATTGCTGAAGTGTGAAATCTTAATATAAGTATCAAGAATAAAAGGTTCCAAATCCTAGTTAATACCTCACTTTTAGAAGCATTAAATTAAGGACAATAAGTTTTTTATATAAAACTGTTCATAGAGATTGGAAAAGTGGCTTGTTGAGTTTCTGCCAGTATCAAAATAAGCTAATCTAGTCTTTTTCAGATTTTACCTAGAGAGCTTCCAAGGACACAGATGAGTCCAAACCCCAAAGTTTCTGATTCAGTTGTTTTGGGGTATGGCCCAAGAATTTGAATTGGTAATGTTTTCCAGGTGTTGCTAATGCCGTTGATCCACCTTATCTATTAAATTAGGCTATGCTGACTAATGACAAAAAGTTCTCAGCAGTTAAAAACAATAAAGTTCATTTCTTACTTATTTAGCATGTCTCTACTGAGTAAATAAAGGAGGACCCAGGACAATAGAGATTTTGTTTTGACATAGGCTTCCATGGTCACAGGCAAGAATAAAAATAAAACATAACAGGCCACTTGCTGGTCCTTAAAGCATATCATATTTTATTAGCTAAAGTAAGTGGTTTACATGGCCAAGCCTGATATCAGTGGAGTGGGGAAGTAGATCCTCCTCTAAGGATGGGGAGCAAATGTGTATGAACTAATACAGTCCACCACAGTCTTTTTTTCTGGATATGTGATAGGTACGCCGTGAAATTGTGCAAACTACTCTTACGTTTTCTGGCCTAACAAGAATAACAAAATCTAAAGAGTGAAGTTAATGTCAATAGGTTTAAACAAAATATGCTTGAAAATAAAGCAGGAGGGAGCAGGGTATTACTGAACGACAGTTGAATCTGTGTTATAATGGCTTCATGATGGTACCTTTAACTTTAAGGCATGTTGTTCCGCTGGCTAATTTAAAAGCAGTTACCCAAGTGACACCTGTTCCTACCTGGAATGCTATGCCCAGTCGGAAAGGAAGAGGCTACCAGAAAATGTCTACAGGCTATGTCCCAGAAATGGGTTTGTATGCTAAAGACTTTTATTTTTCCTTTTTTGTAGTCCCTCTTATTTAAATATGTTGTACTTTTTTAAAAAGGTATGTCATATGTCTCATTGCAGGGTAGGATGGTTTCTTACTCTCCACACTGTTGGCATTTTGGGATGGCTGAGGCCTTGTTGGTTGGTAGAGGGCTTTTCTGTGCCTTGTGGAATGATCTCTGGCTTTTACCCACTAATGCTAGTAGCAACCTCTGCCTAGTTCTGACAACCAAAGATGTCTTCATATATTGCCAAGTGTACCCTGGTGGAAGGGTATGATCAAATTGTCCCCGATTGAGAAACCACAGTTCTCGGTGACTTTATGTAAACTTAAGATGATAGAGATTTTAGAGTCCAAAACTTGAGGGGAAAATATTTTTCAATGAACTAGGAAGGCATTTCATAGGAGCACCCAGAGATAATAAAACAACTTCTTGGAGAATAGTAATGTAGGTGACTGGATGACTCAAATGTTCCAATGACCAAAGCTGCCTATAGTAAAGAGAGTACTGGAATAACCATTAATACAGAAATTACCTGCTGGTTTTGCATTGCAAATGGAAGATCTAGTACAGAAATTTTCTCCCTGTAGTTACTTGATTCCTAAGACAAGCATTTGAGAATTTAAGGAAGTGTGAAAACAGTAGACATTTTGCTTTGGTTATGAATCTTATTTGCTACTTGTTTGTCTGAAAGCTATGCCAGAGATGGACATAAAGCAGCGCAAGAAGATGTTTAAGAAAGTTCGAGGAAAAGAGGTTTATATGACAGTGGCTTACAACAGGGGAGATTCCCTCCCTCCGCCCAGACTTCAACACAGCATGCATTATGAGCATGACCCTCCACTGCACTACTCACAAACAGGTGCCAATGTTATGTGCAATGAACAGTTTCATCATCAACATTCATCTCACAGACAAGGTCGAGGATATGGGATACCCAGGTAAAACTTAACTGACTTTCATGATAATATGTTTTTGCTTAGAATTAGAAATAATTCCTAGATAGAATTATAGGAGAATTGAGAAATGCCTTAATAGTTTAAATATCTTTTATACTCTATGCCTAAAGAGAGGATAGAGTGGATGGATGCTTAAATTCTTGTCAAATGAATTCATTGGCAGATTTATATTCTCATAGTGTTAGAGAATTATGAGACAGTTGAAGAGATGCTCAAAGATAGAATGCCATGAAAATGAGTGTCTATGTGATATATGACACTATATCCATTAATAACAAATAGGATTAATAGCATTTTGGGGAAAAGTAAAACTTTTTCTGGTTGGGTATTTTCAGAAAAGATTTTTAATTCTGTTTAACTACAGAGACTGTCTAAACAGTATAAAGTGTTCTTTTTCTTTTCTCTTTATTCTCAGGGATTCATCTCGTTTTATAAATAGGCACAGCATGCCAAGCCCTAAAGTTGGTTTTTACTCTGAGCCAGGTAAAAGGTGCTGCCAGAGCTTTGATAACTTCTCCTATAGATCTCGGTAAGTATTAGGAAAAATCAAAAAAGTCTAGTTTCACTGCTGAGCAATAATATGGACTAATTTTTTTAAAAAATAATTTATTTATTTATTTATTTCCATTAAGTTTATTGGTACATTTTAGGTATGAAATACGGTTACATTCATCATTGGGATCTTGTACCTTTACATGAGTATCTTGGTTCTTATTTTTTTCCCCTTCCCCTGCCCTCCCTTCACCCCCTCCACCATTCTCTTTTTGCAAAGACTTTGTTTCCATTTTTTTCCTTTTCTCATATTTTTTCTTTTCCCTTCTTCCCTTTCCCCTACCCCTCCCACTTCCCCTATTCCTTTAGACCTTTTCTTCGTATTACACAATATCAATTATACATTTTTAAAATTATAATATCAAGATCTAGAAGACATTACCACATATTTTACAGAATTTAAAAGGATATAGAAAGCATATTACAAAAATCTTTTTTGAAATAAATTGGACAACTTCTAAGGAGTACCTTGGAAGACAAATTAATGAAACTGACTCTGGAGGAAATATAAAATTTGAATAGCACCTATTAAAGAAAGTATATTCCTAGCTTGAAAACCTGCCTATATGACAACCACAGGCTCATATACATTTTAACTGATGAATTATATCAAACATTTAAAGCAGAAAGAAAAAGCCATATGATCCTGTCAGTAGTTGGAGAAAAAGTATTGGACTAAATTCTGCAGCTGTTCATGGTAAAAGCTATCAGAAGATTAGAAGTAGAACAGAACCTTTTCAACAGATAAAAGACATGTACTCCATACTTCCAGGAAAAATGCCTTATATAAATGGAGAAGATACAATGCTTTCTCCCTAAGGTGGGAAACAAGGGCAGATATGCCTATTCTTCATCTGTCAATGGACTAATTTTTAAAACAACCAACTTTGAGATATTTGAACTGTTACTTAGAAACAAATTACCATATTTCTTCATATTTCCCTTTTTATTTTCCACAGTTCCTTTAGACGTAGTCACCGCCAGATGCATTGCATGAATAAGGAGTGTCATTTTGGCTTTGCCCCGGAGAATGGACAGGTACCCAGTGGCTTGGAAGAAACTGTTACTTTTTATGAAGTTGAAGAAGGAGATACGACTGCTTATCCAACTTTACCTGTAAGTGAATCAAAGCTTGACCCAAAAAGCTGTTTACTTTTTAATTTTTTTGTAAAGGTAATGTGTATAAATTTTAAGGTTTTGCTATGAACAGGTAAATAAAACTCTTCTTTGAAAACATGTCCTTAGACCTGTTAAAAGATAAGAGAAGAGACTTTCTTAAAGTTGATCTCAGAAGGGGCTAGAGATAGACATCTTGCCTATATATGTGGATTAATATTTTGTTTCCTTTATCATTCTTCATGTTTTTATTCTAAAGTACAGTTTAAATATTTACTCAAAATACTTGGACTTCGCTTACAACAGCAGTTTAGTGTTAGTCTAGTGGTGACCAATCTAAGGTACACATGCCACAGCAGGCTGTTTGTATCATCGAAAGCTCTTTTTCTGTTTGTTTGTTTGGCACTGGAATGGAACTTGGGACCTTGCGCTTGTGAGGCAGGCGAAGGAACCACTGAGCTAAACCCCTTGGCCTGATCATTGAAAGCTCTAAAAGGTTCACCATCACTGGTCTAGTTTCTTTAACTGACTTTCAAAACATTCTTCTAGTTTTTTTTTTTACTGTATAGGGAGCACTGCATGTTTGTATGTCTGTCTTTTGTATAGAACCATGGTAATCCCTCTATGATGGTTCCTGCTACTTCAGGATACTGTGTTGGAAGGCGAGGACATAGCTCAGGAAAACAGACTTCAAATTCAGAAGAGGGCAATGGCCAGAGTGACAATGGTGAGTCAATTAGTGTTAAATATTTTGAAAAAGATGATTTTCATGGCATTAGTATATTAAGGCTATAAAGTAAACCAACGTTTGGTTTGGGGAGTGTCTCCATTTTGTTTTGAAAAAGAGTTATAAGTCCTTGTCTCAGCTTGCTGGGTTTTTGAAGATGTCCTAGTATTTCTCAGAAGAACAGACTTGTATTTCTGTCAGTGTAGTGGTCTACTTGTAGTAGTAGACCACTACAGTGTTACAATGTATTTTCAGCTCTCTGCATAGGTTGCTAGTGAGTTTTGATTTGATGAAATATCAGTATGGAAAACATCGGTTCATTATTAGTAAGGTGCTTGTCATAGTTGTCTTCCCCATTTGTATACTTTAGGCTTTTCATGTGATTAGCTCTTGTTTTACAAGACTGCTATACATTTTTCACCCAAAGTCATCTACTAGATCTATAAACATTACTGTTTATTGAATCCTATGTGCCATCTATTCTAGTAATTTAATGTGGTCCTTACTGAGAGATGTACTATTTTATGTAGGGGAGAAATTGAGATTCAAAGGTAAATTGTATATTGCTAAGGTCATATGTATGGTGAATAGCAGAGGTATCATTTTTTGTAATAACATAAAATTTATATGCAATTTACCCATTTAAAATGTACAATCCAGTGGTTTTTAGTATATTCAGACTTACATAACTATCATTAGCTTTAATATGAAGGCATTTTTTTTATCATCCCCAAGAGAAACCCCATACCTGTTAGCATCTATTCATTTACCTCCAACTCCCTACCCCCAGCCTTTACCAATTACCAGTCTCTTTTTTTGTCACTATGGATTTACCTATTCTGGACATTTTGTATAAATGGAGGCATATAGTATGTGGTCTTTTTGTGACTGGCAGAGATGAAATTTGAACTTGAGTTTGTATCTAAAACTGTACTTATATATCCTAAACAGTTTTGTTACCTCTGACCATAGAGTGTGTTTATTTTTACCACTCAGTGTTGTATTATACATGCCTACTGAAACAATTCTGGATGATGGAGTGGTTTAATGAGGTATAAGGCATTCTGTATGACTTGGCTTTATTAAAAATTGTCCTATTTTCATTATCTTTCTGCTACTTATACAGAAGAAAATGTATTAGATCTTTGTAGGAATTTAATGAGGGCAAAAATGTAGTACATGAATGATATGGGAAAACTTTGCATGCATGTGCATATACACATATGCTCGAGGGAGCTCACTCTCTGCTCTTTTATTCAGATACTCCTCGTCTTTTCCTTTTGGCCCCTGTACATAGCTTCAGATATATTGCTCACCTGTGGTGGCATATTTGAAGCAACCAAATCTTTGTTCTCACCTTTAATCCTGCTGCCATCTGGAGGAGTTTCATGCCTTTGTATTGATAAGTGATATATTTAAGAATCAATCCAGTTTAGATCTGTAGGGTTTTATTTAGTGAAAAACTGTCCAACTAATGATTGACTTTATCTGCATTTCATTGGTATAATGATCTTTAATCAAAGTACTTCATTCTACTGAGCCATGCTTTGAGGAGAAATTGACTTTACATGTACAGTACTACATGTAACAGGCTGAAAAACAGATGCAGCATGAGATATCCCTTCATTGTCTCCCTAAATTCATTACTTTAGAGTCACTCTTTGAATGTTTGCTATATGCCAAGTACTGTCCTTAGTTATTTTTATTTCTGTTAAGCCTCTTCAAAATCTTTGTGAGCTAGGTACTGTTATCCCTACTTTCTAGTAAAAAATTAAGGCAGATTTATTTACCTAAAGTCATATAGCCAATCAGATTTCATATCTAGCTAATCCTAGGTCCAGAGCCTATGTGCTTAATTGCCACACTGTACCATCCATTTCCCTGGAAAAAATTGGAAAAATTGAAAAACTGCTGAGTTTTTCACCTCTGCCTTTACTTTTGATTGATACAGTTAAAGGCATTCTGAGGAAAAATGTGTACTGTACACAGCTAACCTCTGATTTCAATATGTGCTAATTCGAAAATTCAAATTACTTTGAAGGATATATGCATTTTATTTCAAAATTTATTTTTGGATGTATGCATTTTAGCTTTTAAAGTATATCCATAAAATTTGAGAAAAAGGAAGTGCTAGCCATTTGGCTCCACTGAGCTAAAGTGACCTGTGTAAACACTTCTGTCTTGTCTTTTTTTTCTAGGGAGATATGAAGAATATCTTTATCCTTCAGGTCAGTGGGGGATGTAGATGTAATCTGACATTTGTCATTGTTTATGGAATGTCAGGCTATAAAATAATGCTCATTTTTTAACTTAACTTTGGCTATTTCCTTTAGAGCCAGACTATGAAACTTCAGGTGTATATAGCACAACTGCATCTACAGCAAACTTGGTAGGTATTTAATAATAGCAAACACTAGTAGCTCCTGTTATATTCTGGGGCTCTGTTCTAAAAGCTATACATATAAATGTGTTTAAATCAAAACAGTCCTATGTGATAATTAGTGTAATTTCCATTTTGTAGAAGAAATTGAAACTAGTTAAGATCATACCCCTTTTATGAAATTAAATTTTGAGAGATATTCTTAATATATGTTGGTATAAGAGGAAATGTGTGCTTTCATTGATGATCTTTTAGATAATATTGTTAGAATTTTTATATCAGTCAGAATGTTTCATAAATTGCACTCAGTATAACAAAAGTTTGCTTCTTAGTTATATTACATATCCAGTGGAGAGATCCGCAGGAGGACTCACTCAGCTGCTTTGGCTGATAGAGGCTCCATCTGTTATTGCTGAGGCAAGAAATAAAAGGTGGTAAATTGTACACTGGCTCTTATAGCTTTCATCAGAGATGTCATTTGTCATTTTCTTCTCTATTTCATTGGGCGAGAGCAGGTCCTACTGAAGATTCTAAGTTCTCTATGCCTGAAAGGCAAAAAAAATGGAAATATGTTAGCAGCACTAAGGGCTATAATATTCAATTTGATCTCACTCCCACAGACAGAAAATGGGCTTCTGTCTACCCTAAAGGAGACAACTTAAAAATACCATTCAGTGTAATCAAACTCAAAACCCAGGATCCCTTTGTAATATGTGGAACTCTTTATATCGGGTCCATATGTAGCTTCTCTTGATCTTGAGGCATAAACCCCAAAATATAGCCTTCCCCTCCATCCCCATCTTCAAATTTTCATTGGTAGAGCAGGGTATGAAAAATTTCAGTAAAATTCCCGCTGAGAAAGGAGGAATATGGGAAAAACATAGTCATAATATCCTGTATGTAGCAATTCTGAGATCTTTATGAGCATACACCGAGGGCCGCCAAGCTATACATGGAGACTATTCTCTGGCTTGTTGTTTGTTGGGGCTCTTGGTTACTCTTAACACCCTTCGTCTCCTGGCCATATTTGAAGTAGACACTGGTGAATAGTCCTTTCTTGGTAACTGAATAGATTTCTTTTCCTGCTTCTTAGAGAAGATTGAGGAACCCAAAGATTGGGCTCTCTTTACTTGAATGGTTTTAATCCTGGCTCATGGTTTCTTTGGCTGTGAGATTTAATTTTTCAGATGCTCCACTTGATTTCTATTGGTTTCACATAGCCAGGCTGACAATTCTTTTTATAGATTGTACTACTTAGATTTGATATAAGTTTTTGCTTTCTTATCCCTGTGTTCTTTCTACTTGATTGAAAGTACCATGAGCCTATTGTCCATTGCTGTAAGAGCCATACCCTTTTGATACTTCCCTGAAGTATTTTGTCCGAGTGTAAGGATTTCACTGGGTATTATTTCCTTAGTTGAACGCTTGCTTTGAGGTAGCTTAAGGCACTCAGGAATTTTAACAATTATTTGATCATGCTGTGAAGCTGAGTTCTGATTTTTGTCCTCAAAGCATTAATTTTATCTTGTACAGTTTAGGGTTAAATAATTGCCTCTTTAAGTCCCTGTATATAAGGATTCTCTATTCCCTTTCATTCCTACATGCAAACTACTAATGCTTTCCTACATAAGTCTGTCTGAAAAGACCTTGCTATACTCTGCTGATAGTAATCAAAACACAGTACAGTACTAACATTTGATTTGCTAAACCACTTCCCCTATCATCATCTTCTTCCCAGATAGGTTTTTCTTACAACAGGACTCTACTTCTAAGATAGGTTATGCTGCATTAACAACCCACCAAACATTCTTGCTAATGTTCTACATATGTCTAATGCAGGTTGATAGAGGGCTTCTGTTCATCATAGTCACTCAAGCTGGCCTGATGGACACATACTTTCACAATCACCTTAGGGTGAAAGAAGAGCAAACAGAACATTGACTATTAACATTTTTGATCATATTTCATTATCCAAACAACTCACATGGCCATATCTCATTTCAGATGGAACTGAGAAGGGCATTCCTAGCATGTACGTTGGAGAACTAAAACCCAGGAATGCTTTATCACTGAGTTATATCCTGTTTTTATTTTTTGAGACAGGTCTTACTAAGTTGCTCAGGCTGGCCTCAAGCTTGCTACCCTACTGCCTCAAACTCCCTGGCAGCTGGAATTACAAGCATGTGCCACCACACTTGGCTTGAACTGGAGTATTTGTGGAAAGACCTGAATAATTGTTCTTTATTCTCTTAATTATCATTAGTCTTAACCTTAGCAGCTTCATGTACTAAGTTTTTGTTTTTACTGTTAAGGCAGTACATCTTAGGAAGGAGAAAGAAGTTCTGATATGTATTTCATTTCCTGTTCTTTCTCCTTCCCTTATTTTTCCTCTTTTAGAGAAACAGTGTTTTTCTGTACCCCACCACTAGCATTCTCATAGCGCATGCTTTTTATACCACCTCTTGAAGTAGCTATCCAAATAAAAAGGCACATAAAGATCTCAGCATTAGAGAAATGCAGAGTGGACATTTTGTTTCTTCTATCTTTTAAATTTCTCTTCTTATACCTTTTTGTTCTGAATTTACTTTATCACATACCCCAAATAGCTTTTCAGTCTTCATGATATGTTCCACTTCCATCCCCAGTCACCAAAAGTAATTTTTGCTGCTACAGTCAGTTTTTGCCACAGCAGCTTCTCATGCATAAGTCTGAGCCTTTAAAATCACCTTTATGAATTATTCAGAAACACAAGGTCTTGAGCCAGTGGGAAATGGTATTTTGATCCTACTACATCTCTTACATCCTGATAGGATATAGCTGAGCAACCTGTTAACCCACTGTTGTCCCTATCTACAGCTTCAGATAGAAGGCTTTCTTTCAGCAGAACTATTGTTGATCCCACTGTGTTTAAAGCTTTTAAGGCAAAAAAAAGCTACTAAGTCTTTAAATTTCAGTCCTCAGCTATATTTTAGTATCTATACTGGGACTATAGTTGGATGCGAGGAGGATCTCTGTAGACAGGTAACAGAGTAGTCACCTAAATCAGGTACTAGAGTTAATACCTTTTGGAACATTGTCTTAGTCACTTCTGAACTTGAATTATCTTGAGAGATCACTTTAATTTTAGATGTTGAATCAAAGCAAGTATTTTATTGATGTGTATTTTGGCTTCTTGATTTTCCATTATTCACTTATATTCTGTGTTCATTAAAGTCTCTCCAGGACAGAAGACCATGTTCTTCTATGTCTCCACAGGACGCAGTTACCTCATACAACTACCACCAGAAGGTACTCCTTGTAGTGTAACCAAGCAGTCATGTACAGTGGTCTAAAAGAGGAAAATGAATTTTCTCATTTTTTAGACCTCACCATGCTTCCATTACTGTATTATTGTATCTTGTGATACCTGGTGCAATGATTAATAAATTCATTCAACAAAATTGATTTAAGTATCTACTGTAGGGCTGGGGATTTAGTCAGTGGTCCCGCCTCCTGCCTCGAAAGCATAAGGTCCCGAGTTTGATCCCTGGTGCCAAAAAAACAAGAGAGGTATCTACTGTGTTTCAGACACTATTCTGTGTGCTGGCATTAGACTGAGTCTGCTGTCAGCTTCTTGTATGAATGAATTAATATTAAATTATTTGTCAAGGCTAAAAGGTATCTGAAACCATAGAATGAGTAAGATTGTGCTGGGAAAAAAAAAGAGGTTGCAAAGAGTGTCTAGAATAGCCTGTGGATCACCAAATTTTAGAAAATGGGTAGAAAAGAAGCAGTTAAGGAGAGAAGAAAAAGCAGGAGAGTATAATATTATGGTTGCTTCATGAAGAAGATGTTTCAAGGAGCAGTCCAGTGTCAGTGGTTACTAAAAGTTCACACAACATAAGGAATTAAGCAGTCTACTAGGATTTATTAGCATGGAGACCACTGGTGACTTTGGATACAGTTTCAGAGAACCAGAATAGGTAGCAGCCACACTACAGTGGGTGATAAAGAAATGGAGGCTGCCAGTGAGGACAGTATCATCAGGTTACTTTTTAATGATTATCTCTCTGCACAGCTCCATGCTGGATTCTGTGGGAAAGTAGTCTGCACTTTGGCCTAAGCAGAAAAAAATTGGAGTTTCATGAAGCTACAAAAAATGCAAAGCACCTTTTCTATTTAAAAAACTGTTTACATGGGGAAATATATACATATACATGTAAAAATGAATGTATATTACAGATCTTTGGAATAATATGCAGGTAACTCAGAGGTTACCTGCTTGGGGAGAGGGTAGCTAGGTAGATGAAGGACAGGGTTGGAGGGAACCTTTTCACTATATACAATTTAATACTTCATTTTTGAATCATATAATGTACTTTCAGAAAAACAAAAGAACTAAAAATCTGAGGTCTTTGAAAAGAACCATTCTATGTAAGGTTTATGTAAAGATGGATTTTCAGTGTTTTAGTTATCAAAACAAAATGTTATTTCCTGAAATTGAGGATCAGATAGGAAACTTTAACACTGTTTAAGAAACCAGACTTTAAAAATTCTGAACTTTCTTCACATTTAACAGATGATGGGAAATTCTGCAGTAATTGCAGTTTCCTGTGCCAGTACTGTTCCTGCTCCAGTCCTACCTAACTGTGTAACAGCTAATCAAACTACTAGTGCTTCGTCAGTTTCCTCACAGAATGCTATACAGCCTCTATTTGTACCTCCACCTGCACAAGGCAGGCCAGGTAGGTTTTTAGTGGTCAAGTACTTTGGAAGCCTCTTTTCCTATTCATGAATACCCACATGCAACTGTTCTAGTGATTAGATAGGATTGCTTTGATTTGTTCTGTTGAAGAATATATGAGATTTTGAGAGAGGATTTTAACTTTTTTCTTGTTAAATTGGCTCTGTAAGATTTTGTATCTGTCATTTGCTACCCCTGGTTATTTAGAGGACTTGTAATAGTTTCTAAAATTTGTTTTATAATATGAGAATTAAGAGATGTTTCTTTATAGAATGAATTTCTGAAAAGCTTTCTATAAAATGCATTCCTATTTGTCCTGTGAATGTCACAATAAAGAATATTAGGATTTAGAATTTAGGTTAGAACCTTGGTGTTATGGGTGATTTTTTGTTGTTGTTTGTGTGTAGTATTGGGGATGAAATCTAAGGCCATTGCACTGATCTACATCTTTAGCTCTTTTAATTTTTTATTTTGAGATAGGATCTTGCTAAGTTGCCAAGTTGCACAGGCTGGGCTCAAACTTGTGATCCTTCTGCCTTAGCCTCCAAGGGCTGGGATTACAGGCATGCACAACCGCTTGCAGCTTAGAATTCTGGTTTTACAATTTACTACCTATGTCATTTTGGACAAGTTATTGAACCTTTTCTTTTAATCTGTGTGCTTGAGAGTAGTGATAGTACCAATTCATAAAGTAGTTGTAGAATTTTAACAAGTTAATATAATTTGCAATTCTCAGCACAATTCTGTGAGGGTTGTGGTAAGAACAGTATAGCTTTTCAATTTTGAGTCCCCAAATAAAAATGGAAATTGCAAAACCAAAACCCACAGACAACATCTGTTAAAAAATTAGATGACATAGTATCCTCACAAATTCCCAGATTTTAAGCAGATAGAGACAAAATGCCATTCACAAGACTTGCGTGCTATCAGAATGTGTGTGGGAGCAAAGAGGTGGAAACACCCAGGATGTTGCCTTATGGATCCAAGAATAGAAGAACTCTATTTAAAAGAGCTAATCAGAATTCACTGGAAAGTGGGACAGCCAATTAGGAAGCAATGTTTAAAACTGGGAATGAATTTGATCTCTCCAATACTAGTTGAATGAATGAGGCACTTGGTAGTAGGACCAAAGGACTTAGAGCCGGTTAAGCCCTAAAAATACTCAAAACTGACCTATCAGGTCTGCCTTTTAGTGAGTTATTATTATATTTTTGGTACCGGGGATTGAACTCAGGACCTTACACTTGTGAGGCAGGCGGTGGCACCACTGAGCTAAATCCCAGGCGGGGCTGCCTTTTGGGATAGTATTTTTCACTACAAAGAGACTGCTGGGAGTGAGTTAGAATTGATCAGGATGGGGAAAAGAGCAGGATCATTAAAGTTGGGACAGAACAGAGCCAAGGAATTGTAGAGTACTCATATGTTTGAACAGTCCACAAAAATTGTCAGAGAACTCTATGAAGTTAGGAAAATGACCTTGTGCCCACTTCATTTGAAAGTTCATGAAAATAATTTCATGTAAAAGTAAACAAAGTTGAAAACATTGAGGTCAAATGCTATATACAGATCCTTTAAGGAGAAAAAAGCAAAATAATACCTCTACAAATGGTAAAAGCATGTAGAAATGTACCTACTGAACAAAATTAAGCTTACCAAATAAAAACTGTAGCATACTATTTCAGATTGAAGTAGACATTAATAAAATAATTAAAAATATTAACACATTTCTGCCAGCTTGAACCACTGGTGGTATATGCATGACTGTCCCACTAGGCAGCTTTTTATTAATTTTATTAGTACATGCATGGCTGTTCCATCAGGAAACATATTTATTTTATTAGTAAAAAGACCAGTAAAGGTGATTAGATCTATCTCTACCACCAGTGATACAAGTTGCCCGATGAAATAGTCATGCATGCACCACCAGCGGTTCAAGCCGCCCAGCAGCAAGGCATAAGAAATATGGTCTCATCGTGAAAGGTGTTACAGAATAACATGTCAGAATTTTAAAAACTCACATGAGGTGATAGAACTCAGGAAAGAGAAAAGAAAGTCAATTCAAAAATGAGGACTAAACAGTAAAAGCCTGAGAAAATATATACAACAGATTAAAATTGTAAGAAAGGGGGGAGTCCAGAATTAAAAAAGTCAGATTCAAGAGTGACACATTGAAATTAGGCAAAGGAAGTAAAATACTAATATAAGTCCCTGAAGAAGAAAACTGAAGGGAAGACTGTATTAGACAACATAGAGAATATTTGTGGCATCACAGAATATTGTAATGATAGTAATGATAGCTAGAGAATGATCTTCGAGTTTCAGTCTACCGGAAATAATGATAGACATTAGCATAAGACCTGTGTAAGTATTAAATGCATAGTTACCTGTAGAATTAAGACAAAGTGAAGATTGAAAGGTTGAGAAAATACTGTGTAATAGCCATATATTTGGACAAGGAATCTGTTTTTAAAAATGAGAAAATTGAGAGAACATATATGCAAAGCGTTTTTTAATGCTTTCAGTAATTACATTTGGTTACTCAGTATCCATAGCACCCAGTTTTTGTGGTCTTAAAATACCACCTACCATTTTAAAATATAAACAGCTTGTAAAGAAATGGCTGATTCAAGTTCTGGACAGGAAATGTTCAAGATAAGTATAGAGCCTCTTGTCAATAGCAAGGAAGCTCCTAAAGAGTTCTTGGGTCATGTTGTAATGACTTGGAAGCTATCTTGAAGAAATTTCCACTGGCTAGATATGAATGTGAAATTTAAAAATTCCTAATGATATTTTAAAAATTGGTCAACTGGAAGAGGATGATAGAAAATCAGTTAACTTTCTTAAAAACTGGAAAATAAAGTGAAGGAATCAAGCATTTATTCTACCTTTATTATATGAACTGTACCATTAAATAACCAAATAGTAGATGAGGGAAAATGTCTTTTTATAGTATTCTAACTAGTCAATGAAAAAAGTGACAGAATATAGTAGTTTTGTATTCTTTTTTGGATGGATAGACGTTAAATATTAATAGTTGTTAAGAGTACGCTATAGATTCAATCTGGACTGTACCCCTAAAGGTCTATGTGTTGAAATATTATTCCCCATTTTGGCACTATTGGGAGGTTATGGAATCTTTGAGCCAGATCCTAGGTGAAGGTCTTAGAGGTCACTGGGGCAGTGCCCTTGAAGGGAATTAGTGGGATAGAGACTACCCCTTCCTCTTCCTCTCTTTCTTTGCTTCTTGGCTGCCATGAGGTGAATAGCTTCCTCAGCCACTCACCCTCACCATGATGTGCTGACCCCAAGGCCAAAAAACAATGAGGCTGCTAGATCATGGACAAAAACCTCCAAAACAATGAGCCAGAGTAACATTTTCTTTTTATAACCTGATTACCTCAGGAGTGTTAGTAGTGGAAGGCTCACTTAATACAGATTGCAAAGACATACACTACTCCCTATATATGTGCTAAAGGTATCAGTTCTGAATCTGATTCAGTTTCCTGAATCAAGCTGCCTATTTGCAGGAAATGCAGAACTTGTTGAACTACACCATGAGTATATATTCAGCTAATTGTGGGAGGCTTGGCAGGTTAGAAGGACTAGGCGCTTCAAAAGAAAAACTAAAGAAATAAAAGGAATGAAGGAGGGAATAGGTTAAAGAGTTTCAAGACATCAAACTTTTGGGCTGGGGATTTATTTAGCTCAGTGGTGCCACTGCCTCCCTTGCCAAGGTCCTGAGTTCAATCCCCGGTACCAAAAAAAAAAAAATCAAACTTTTAATCTTAAGATGGGCAAAAAGCTGTCTGGGGATATACATTTAGGTGACAACTAAGGAGGAAACTGCAAAGAAGTGATTATTATTAAAGTTAGAATAATGGTTAATTATGGTAGGAGGGAAATGACTGTGGCTTATATGGGGCAAATGAAATTTTTTTCCATAGTGGCTGGGAGAGGTTTATTTCTTGACCTGGGTAATTTCCACATTAAAATAATTCATTAATGCAAACATTAGATTTACTTTCTGTATTAGTCTCATTTATGAATTTTAAAAAGTGTTAGCACTGTGCTTGGGCAAAACATGAAATAAACATTAATTATGATAAAAATTTTTCATTAGAAATGTCAGTGTGGACCTTGGTTGTACTACTATATACTAATTGTAGAGGAAAGCACTGACCACTTCCAACAAAGATCTGAATTTAAAATTTTCAAGTGACAGTGAATCAAGCATTGCAATGTCACATTTCTGTGGAATCATTAGAAACTTACCTTTGAAATGCCAGATTTTTTCTAAAATTTTATATTGCCTTCATTTATTTTACTTTTTGTTTTGTAAGTCGCTTATAAACCTTATCTGTAGCTCTACTTTATTGGATCCAACTGCTCTTTCAATTCTTTCTCATTCTTGCTAATTCTGTAGATTGCCACAAGATACATTATTTAATTTCTACTAATATTTTACAAAATTACCTTTTTCTGGATTATTCCCTTGACCTATACCTATTAAACCTATGGAATCATGTGTCTCTTGGGCAACTGGGAATTATAAAAGCGTTTTTTTCCCCAAAGGCTTATTATAATAACACATTTATAAGGAATATGATCTTAGACTAACCTTCAAGTTCCTTTTACCTTTAATTCTCTCAGGCCTGTGTTTATTTAGCCATCTCTATGTCTAGTAGTTGGTTTTTACCTAGTGATCCTAATTACATTCTATCTTGAACTAATTGACTTTATTTCATTTGCTTTTTTATAATGTGATTTGAGTGAGTTCTGGTGTTAAAGCTATTAGAGATTTTTCAAAGTCATTTTATAGAAATATTCATAGATTTAGAGCATTGAGGATATTCTGAAAATTCAGAATATCACACCCAGATGTGATGGCACATGCTTGTAGTGCCAGGTACTCAGGAGGATGAAACAGGAGCACAGCAGGTTAGAGGCCAGCCTGGGTAATTTAGCAAGACCCTATCTCAAAATAAATAGGGCTGGGAATGTAGTTAAGTGCTTCCTGGGTTCAATCAAAATAAAGTTGTTTCATCATCTCCTAAGAATTATTTGCCAAATTTTAGATCACCCTAAGACACAGATCTATTATCATTACCCTATAACTGTATAAATAAAACTGGGTGTGGTGATGCATGCCTATAATCCCATCTACTCTAGGCTGAGGCAAGAGGATCACAAATTTGAGGCTAGCCTGGGCAACTTTAGTGAGACCCTTTCTGAAATGTTTTTATATTTTAAAATTTTTTTTAATTTTTTTTTTTTTTTTTTGGTACCGGGGATCGAACTCAGGTCCTTGCCCTTGCGCAGCAGGCGGCAAAACTACTGAGCTAAATCCCCGGCCCTGAAATGTTTTTTTAAAGGGTGGGTGAGCAATGGGGATGTAGCTCAGTGGTAGAGCACACCTGGATTCCATCCCTCGTACTACCAAAAAACAGTATAGATGAGTATATTATTTGCGTTTGTCAGTGAATGAAAATACTGTGTATTACTTTTTGTTAAATGACTAAAATAATAAATTCACCTAGTGTGGACTGCTGCTATATTAAACTCAGTGTGTTAAGACTCTAAATTTAACCCTTCATGTAATTGTGAGATGGAGCTTTCTATACTTAGTAGAGTTAAAATGGTTGTACAGATAACATAGGGATGAAATTTCAAAATTGGCTAAAATGATTCCGTTAAACTTGAGGGGTTGCAGCATTCATCATGCATCAAAAAATTCAACAAATTTAAGTGGCATATACATGTGTGTGAGTGTGTATGTGTGTGTGTGTGTCTGCTCAGTTTAGTATTTAAACATAATTTTATTTTAATTTCTTATGTTAAGAACTGTGAAACCTCCTGAGTATTGTTTTTAAATTATAGTAGCAGGTATAGAAAGTTAAAGGGATTAAAATATTGTATCTAGCCAGCTTTTTTAGATTTTGTATCTCCTTAGAAATGAAATTGTCATAATTTAGAATTCCTTGTATTCCTCAAATGTTATCAGTAGAATCTCTCAAAGATTGCCAAAATCTATAATCAGTGTTTTTTAGTTTATCTCTTACTAACTTGTGCATTAATTTACATTGGGTGTTGAGCTAAATAACCTTCCACATTTTGAAGTCAAGCCATGAGAATTGACTTCTTTTACCATATTGGGGACATGAAAAGAGCAGATGAGCTACTACTTATAAGGTGTTGCAGTTGTGCATTGCTACTTTATGTCTTTTCTTTGTTAGTGATTGCTTCACCATCTTATCAATACCATTCTGCTGCTATTCCTGCTGCTGCCTCTTTCCCACCACCACCACCGCCACCTCCACCACCACCACCACCACCTCCACCTCCTTTTGAGGTGGAAGAGGCTTCAAACTTAGCATCACAGCTTCCACCTTATTCCTGTGATCCAAATGGCAGTGATCTGCCTCAAGGTAAGCAGATTGAGACTTGGGTAAGGTTATTGAGTTCTGAGGCTTTTATTTTAATTTTTGAGCATATCTCTGGTTAGCCAATAGCGTGGGTAGGGAACCAAATGGAAATTGACTTGAAAGCATAATGTTAGGTAAGGAATGGAGGAATTGAAAGCTGAAAAGTTAAGGATGTCTTTTGTATAATCAACAAGTGGATAATTGAGTGAATTTCTACTGAGTATTTTCTTCTTCTTCCTCCTCCTCCTCCTCCTCTTCTTCCTCTCTCTCTCCTCCCCCTCCCCTCTTCTCCATCTTTCTTCTTACTCTTCTCGTTCATCCTCCTCCTTCCTCCTCCTTCTTCCTCTTCTCCTTCTCCTTTCTTTTCCTTTTCCTCTTCCTCCTCTTTCTCTTCCTTCCCCTCCTCCCTCTCCCCCTTTTCTCAACTCTTCCTTGAAAAGCATTAGTGTCAAAATTCTTTCCATTTCTTAATTTCTTTCCACATTCATAGAAAAGTTTTGCAGTCTTCTGTATTTGAGATAACAAACAATATTATTAAAGCCTCTGACAGGTTTTAAGGGCTCTGATGTGCTTTAAATTTCAGCCATGTGCTCGTCTAAGGAGTGATTTTCCATTGGAAATTTTTTGTTCAGTTTGGCAGTATTGCTCAAAAGAAAACTAGTTGAGAGTTGTTTGTAGCTTACTTATATTTTGACTATCACATTTTCTTGATTTTTCTAGCTGCTTCTCTATACTGAGTTTTTTCCAACCTCCTAAAGTAGTCATCAAGATGTTTTCTAACTCTATCGTATTCTTTCCCTCTACTGTAAAATTTCATTATTACATCTGTATAGTGGATTCTCAAATCTGTTCTTGGTCTCAGAAGTTTGTTGTTTCTCTTTAGCTATTTACTAGCCATTTTTACTATCCTAGACCAAGCCCCAGCTCCTAAAAACACATTCAGCTACGAACTGATGAATACACTGATGAATATAGCATACCCATGTTCAAATCACCTTCCAAATGCCCCACATCTGAACACATGAGACTTTTGGGGGGGGACATTTTAGATCTAAACCATAGCAATTATTATGAATCAATTAAAGTCAAAATTAAACTTAAGAATTTTAGCATACATATTAACTAGGGTTCAATATTTAGTTTTTCATTTTGATGTAGAATTCACATATAATCAAATGCAGAAAAGCTAAATGAACACTGGCTGAGTTTTAACAAATACATGTACGTACCTGTATAACCCAAATCCTTATCAAGATAATAAAACATCACCATTATTTCACAAGTTTCCTTATGCCGCTTTCCAGGGGACCCATCTGCATTTCCACCCAGGGAAAGCCATGTTTAGGTTTTAAAATCTGCTATAGATTAGTTTTACCTGTTTTAGAATTTCATATAATCAGTACATATGTAATCTTTATAGAAGGCTCCTCAAGCTCTGCATAGTATTTTTGAGATGCATCCGTGTTGTATCATTAGTCTATTTGCTTTTATTTCTGACTAGTATTTCATTTTATGAGTATTCTATAGTTTATCCATTCTCCTATTGATAGATACCTGGGCTGTTTCCAGTTGGGGGATGTTATGAGTAAAACTGCCCCCCCCAAAGTCTTTGTGAACATGTTTTAATGTGAACATGTTTTAATTTTCCATAAGCACGTACATACCAGTGGAATTGCTTCATAGAGAAGTGTATGGGTTTTTTTGTAAGAAACTGCCAGACACTTTTCCCAAGTTGTAAGAAACTGCTGAACATTCTTCCCAAGTTGTACCATTTTGGACCAACATAAGCATTATATGAGAATTTCAGTTGTTTCTCATCCTCACCAACGTTTAGTGTTGCCACTCTTATTTTAGCCATTTGATGATTCATGATAGGCACTTTAAAATAAGACTTATTTTATGGAGAAGCTTTCTGTTCATAGCAAAATTGAGAGGAATGTGCAGATATTTTCCATATTCTACTTGCCATGATATGTACATAGCCTCATATATTATCAGTATCCCTCTGCAGAGTGGTATATTTGTTACAGTTCATGAACTTGCATTCACACATCATCATCCAAAAACCATAGTTTACATTAGAGTTCACACTTCTTATTGTATATTTCATGAGTTTGGACAAATATATAATGATATGTGTCCTCCATTATAGTATTATATGGTATTTTCACTGCCCTAAAAATCTTCTGTATTCCAAGTATTCACACCACTTCCCCCAACCTCTGATGATCATTGGCATCTTATCACTCTCCCTATAGTTTTAACTTTTCCAGAATGCCATATAGTTGTGATCATGTAGAATATAGCCTTTTTAGGTAGTTTCTTTCAGAGTGATATGCATTTAAGGTTTCTTCATGTCTTTTATGGGCTGTGAGCTTAGTTCTTTTGAACAATAAATAATAATCTATTGTGTAGTTATACCAGTTTATATATCCATTTACCTCCTGAAGAATATCTTTGTTGTTTGCAACTTTGGACAATTACAAATAAAGCTGCTCTAAACTTCCAAGTGCAAGTTTTTGTATAGAAATACATATTTAACTTTTTTTGAGTAAAAATAAAGGATTTGCTTGCTGAGTCAAATGGTAAGAGTATGCTTAATTTTGTAAGAAACTGCCAAATTGTCTTCCAGAGAAACTATACCATTTTGTATCCCCACCATCAATGAATGAGAATTCTTGTTACTTCATATACATGCCAGCAGTTTGATGTTACCAGTGTTCTGGATTTTGGCCATTCTGACATTCTGAGTGTAATGATATCTCATTGTTTTAATCTGCATTTATCTTATAACATATATTCTATAGCATCTTTTCATATGCATATTTTCCATGAGGTATCTGTTAATGTCTTTGGCTTATATATAAATCAGATTGATTTATTATTGTTGAGTTTTTGAGAATTTTGTATATTTTGGATAACAGAGCTTATCAAATATGTCTTTTGCACATATTTGCTCCCAATCTGTAGTTTGTCTTTCATTCTTCTGATAATGTCTTTCACAAAACAGATGTTTTTAATTTTAATAAAGTGCACTTAATTATTTTTTTCATAGATCTTGCTTATGGTGTTGCATCTAAAAAGTCACCACTAAAGCTTGATGCAGTGGTAGGTCATGCCTGTAATCCTAGCACTCTGGGAGGATGATGCAGGAGGATCATAAATTCGAGCCCAGACTACACAACTTAGTGACTTAGTGAGACCCTGTCTCACATTTTTTAAAAAGTAATTTTATTAGTATACTTTTGATATGCATAATGATCACATTCATCACAGGGAATTTATACCTGTACATAATATATTTTGATTTTTCTTTTTTCTCCATTCCCTTCCCCTCCTTATTTACAAACACTTTCCAGTTTTTTTCTTTTATTCTCTTTCTTTCCTTTTTCCTTCCTTCTCATCCCTCTTCCCATTTGAACATTTTCTTCTTCCTTCCCAGTATGTATCATCCATTTTGGTCCTTATTTACCCTGTTGGTTTCTCACATCAGAGAAAAAATGTACTATGTCTCAGACTTTAAAAAGGACTGGGGATGTAGCTCAGTGTGAAGGCTCTGGGTTTAATCTGCAATACCTCAAGAAATAAAATTAAAGAGTAAAAATTTATCTCCAAACCAAGGTCATTTAGATTTTCCTCCTGTATTATCTTTTTTAAGAGTTGTATAGCTATGGATTGTGTGTTTAGATCTGTGATACATTTTGAGCAAATTTTGATGAAGAGTATGAAGTGTGTGAAGATTCAGTTTTTTGTGTGTGGATGACTAGTTGCTTGAGTTCTTTTTTCATGTTTATTGGCTATTTGCATATTATAGAATGTTAACATTTGGCTTTTTATTGAGTTATTTGTGTTGAGTTGTAGAATTTCTTTACATATTCTGGGTACTAGCCTTTTTTTAGGTGTGTTTTGTGAATATGTTCTACTGGTCTGTGTCATCTGATTTTTTTATGGTTTTTTTTTTGATAAGCAGGGGATTTTAATTGCGGTGAAATCTGTTTTTGTTTATTGCTTTCATGACCTAACAAACTTTTGCCTACCCCAAATCATGAAGGTAAAATCTTTCTTTTTTTTCCTTTTATGGATATCTAGTATTCCAGAACTGCCACTTGTTAGAAAGATTTTTCATTTCTCATTGAATTACTTTAGTGTTTTGGTCAAAAATTAAATGAGTATTCAGCATGCTGCTCAATTTCTGAGCTTCTGTCTGTTAGGTTGATTTTTTTTCAAACCTTCTACTAGTATCACACTTTTTATTATAAGTTTTAAAGTCAGGTAGTTTTAACTTACATACCTGTAAATTAGCCAACATTGTTTTCTTTCTGGATGATTGATTATTTTAAGTATTCTACCATTTATGTTTCTATTTGATTGTCATTTTTTTACCCCCTCCCCCCAGAAAACATGGGAATTTGAGGTTACATTGAATTTATAGCCCAATTTCTGGAGAATTGCATTTTAACGATAGTGTCTCTTTGAATCCATGAACATAGTATTTTATTAATCTGTCTATTTAGGCCTTTTTTCCCCACCATTTTATTTTTGGTAAAGTGGTCTTCTACATCTTTCGTTAAATATATTTATATATATTTGGGGTTTTGGTGCTGTAGTAAATAGAATATCAACGTTAATTTTTAAATTTTGTCCTAATATATAAAAACATTGATTTGTGTGTTAAACTTGGCTGATTTATTTAAAAGTTATCTTTAGCCTGGCATGTTGGCACATGCCTATAATCCCAGACTCTGGGAGTCAGGCAGTAGGTTCACCAGTTTAAGCCTAGCCTGTCTCAAAATTAAAAAAAAGAACTGGGGATGTAGCTCAGTGTGAAAACTCTGGGTTCAATCCTCAGTACTCACCCCCAAAGTGTTTTCTAGAGGGTTTTTAAAAAATATCCACTGTCTCCTTCATAGATCATGCCTTTATCCACTTCATCCCTAAGCAGTTAGAATAGCTTCTCAGTTCTCTTTGTTCAAGTGGCTGTACCACTTTGTATCTCTTCCTAGCTCATAACCCTTCAGTGTTTTTTTAATTCCTGTAAAGCACAGAAGAATAAGTATGACATTTATGACTTTGTGCAGTCTAGCCTCTGCTCTATCCCAGCCTTCTGTTTTATGTGATCTCTGTGCACCTGATTTTCTACTCCTGAAGTTTTGCCGGTATGAGAGGTTTACTCAAATTCTATCTCCACTTATTCTTCTAACTTCCTTTTAACCCTCCCCAAAGATATCCTGTACCCATCAGTAGTTCCTCTTCATGCCTCCCAGCCTTAGCAGCAACACTACTCTGTATTTCTACAAATGTGTCTATTTTAGACATATTATATAAATGGAATTGTAACAGTATGTAGTCTTCTATGCCTGACTTCCTTCACTTACCATTTTTTCAAGGTACTGTACATCCATGTTGTAGCATATATCAATACTTTTTTTCAGAGCTGAATTTTACTTATTTTATTTATTTTGACACATACATACATACCAAGGAGCAGAGTCTCATGCCACTATGAATGCATTTACTCCCTCCTCTTGTATAATCATATGTTTTAGCTTGAACATTAGGCTTTACAGTCTATTTCTAATAGTCAAAATACAAGCTGATTGGGGTGAGTGGGATCTGGTGCTGGGAAGTGAACCCAGGGCCTTCGCACAGAGCTACATCCCTAGCCTTTTTTTCTTATGCTAGGTTTGAGCTTCAATCCTGCCTTAGCCTCCCAGAGTACTGGGATTACAGGTGCACACCACCAAACCTGGCCAAGCTGATTCTTTTAAAATAATAGTAAATATGTTTATGTGGGAAGATTATAACTTAGTTTTATGAGAATTCATCTTACTGGAATTCAGGTTATGTTGTCTAATCAATAAGAATGTTTGTGGATCCCAGGTCAGTCAGTAAAAATATATTTAGAAATAAAATGCTAGGAACAAGGTTGGGGGTATAGCTCAGTAGTAGAGTGTATATTTAGCATATAAGAAGTCCTAGTATCAGTTGCCACCACCACACGCAGACACACACATCTGAAGGATGCTAGGAACAGTCCCTCGTCTCCCATATATCATTCATTCATTCATTGTAATACTGGAGGTTGAACTCAGGGCCTTTTTAATAAGCTACTTCAACAACCCTTTTCATTTTTAAAATTTTTATTTTGAGAGAGGGCCTAGCTAATTCACTAAGTTGTTTGGGCTGGGCTTAAACTTGGAATCCTACTGCCTCAACCTCCTGGAGTGCTGGGATTACAGGTGTTTACCACAACACTAGGCTTCAATTATGAAATATTTTAAGTCCTATAATGTCTAGAGAAATTTTATCAACTTAGGATATAGTTCATTTTGAGTTACCTTCCTCATTGTTCCTTCTCTTTGGAGTTCTAGTGGTGGTGTGTTAGTTATGGTAAATAAAAACAAATGACTTTTTCATATTGTGCTGACTGATTCTGTCATTGATAGAGCATTAATTTGTGCTGTAGACCTGTGCTAGTAACTGAAACCCAGATGAATGCTTATATTCTAGAGTTGTAATAAAGAAACCCTTGGGATGAGTAAGAAGGTGCCTTTACAGATTCTTCCTAAATATTCAGAGTGGCATTCCTATAGCATCTGCCTAATATTAGGAATATAAATAAAATTTGTATTTGTTGGTTAAACTGTACCAGAAAATGATCTTACCTGTAACGATAGGTGAATGGTCACTTAAAACTGAGGATTGTGTTAATATGTGAAGACTGTATTTATACCTGATTTGATAATGCTCAAAGTAAAATCTTCTAAATGATAGTTGTGATTGCCTATATTAGTCTGTCACTAAATTAAACTTTTTTCATTTTAGATACAAAAGTTTTACAGTACTATTTCAATCTGGGATTGCAGGTAAGAATGTTAAAATTGTTTTTGATATGCTCTGTATTCAAAGTATGATCTGTTTTAAAAATAAGAGTCTTGAAATTTATGTGCTTATTTTTCCTAAACTGAGAATTAAGTCCAGTGCCTTCACACTGAGCTAAAACCCCAGCCCTTTTTTATTTTGAGACAGGGTCTCATTAAGAGGTAAAGTTGCCTAGACTAGGCCCAAACTTGGCAATCCTCCTGTCTCAGCCTCTGAGAGTGCTAGAATTATAGGCATGCACTACCATGCCTGGGTTCTTGAACATTAAAGGTTAAGAATACTAAGAGGGGTCTGAATTTTATTTCTAAGAGATCTCTGAAGATGAGATAGGTCAATTTTATACTTTAGCCTCTCAGTGGTTTAGTTTTTCTTATTATAAAAGTTGTTGAATTGAGAAAAGTGAGGGATTAGACTCTAAGCAGCACACCTTCAGAATATAGTAGATTACCCCTCATATTTAACATTCTATTCCAGCCCTTCACTGTGTTACGTACTCAGAATGAATGAATCATTTGTCCTATTTTCTTAAAATATGTTTATGGTTATTTCTGCATTTGATAAGAAAAGTAGACTAACTCAAAGATATTTAAATAGCTGTATTTTTAAACTACTTATATGTTCATAGATATTTGCCAAACACTGGTTTTTATCACTACTCTGAATTATAGAGGTAGGTACTAAGAAATATCTTGGTATCACAGGAAAGTGTCTCTGGTTTGAGGTAAAGACTCTTCTATTCTTTTAGGGATCAATTTTCCTCTTAAACACACTTTCTGGAACAGCAAGATGGCATGTTTACTAAAAACAGATGATGCATTTTTTTTTTGCTTAAATTCTTTTATTAGTTCATTTTAGGTATACAATATGTTTACATTTATCATTGGGTGCTTGTACTTGTACATGATGTATCTTGGTTATTTTTTCCCCATTCCTTGTGCTCCCTTCACCGCCTTCACCCTTCCCTATTTACAAAGACTTTGTTTCCATTTTTTCCTTTTCTCATAATTTTTCCTTTCCATTTTTTCCTTGCCCATTCCCCTCCAACTTCCCCTACCCCTTTGCAACTTTTCTTCCTGTGTCAAATTATCAGTTGTTCATTTTAATCATTTGAATCCTTATTTACACTTTCAGTTTCTCACAGGAAAGAAATTATTCGGCATTTACATATGTGTGTCCTATTTCAGTTAAGAGTATGGCCTCAATATGCATCCATTTAGCTAGAAATGTCTCTAGTTTCTCATTCTTTATGGCTGAGTAGTATTCCATTTTATTAAAAAAAAACACATCTTCTTTATCCAGTTTCCAGTTGATGGGCACTTGGGCTATTTCCAAGCTTTAGCTATTACAAACTGTGCCGCTATAAACATGGGTGCACATATATCGCTGTGGTATGATTCTTTTAATTTTTTTGGGAAGATCCCCAGCAGGGGAATAGCTGGGTCAAATGGGACCTCTAGTCCTAGTTTTTTGAGGTATCTCCATACTGATTTCCACAGTGGTTGCACCAGTTTACACTCCCGCCAACAATGGAGAAGGGTTCCTTTCTCCCCACATCCCCGCCAGCATTTGTTATTGGTTGATTTCTTAATAGCAGCCATTCTTTTGGGGGTGAGGTGGAATCACAGAGTTGTTTTCATGTACATCTCTCGAATGACCAGTGATGTTGAACATTTTTTCATACGTTTCTTGCCTGCTTTTACTTTTTTGTCTGAGAAATGTCTGTTCATTTCAGATGCCCATTTTTGAGTTGGGTCTTTAAATTTGGGGGGGGGTCTGATTTTTTTCACTTTTTTATATATTGTAGATAGTAGTCCTTTGTGTGAGGTACAGTTGCTAAATATTTTTTCCCACCTTGCAGGTTGTCTTTTAGCTCTGTTGGTGGTTTCTCTTGCAGTGCAGAAGCTTTTTAATACGATGAGATTCCAATTGTTGATTCTTTGTGCTACTGAGGTTTTGTTCATAAAGTCTTTTCTTATGCCAGTGTCTTCAAGACTTCTACCTAACTTATCTTCCAGCAAGTTTAGTGTTCTGTCTTAATATTTAGATCTTTAATCCACTTCGATGTTAGTTTAGAGCACGGAGATAGGTATGGGTCTAGTTTTAATCTTTGGCAGTTTGAAATCCAGTTTTTCCAACACCATTTATTAAATAGGCTATCTTTCCTCCAGTGAGGATAGTTGGCTCCTTTGTCAAAGATGAGGTGGCAGAGTATGTGTGGAGTTGTTTCTGCATCTTCTAATCTATTCCACTGATCCTCAGGTCTGTTTCTTTGCCAGTACCATGCTGGGTTTTTTGTTTTGTTTTGTTTTGTTTTTTAAATCACAGTGGCTTTGTAGTACAGTTTCAAGTTGGGGATTGTGATATCCCCTGCCATGTCTCTGTTGCTTAGAATTGCTTTTGCTATTCTAGGTCTCTTCTGGTTCCACATGAATTTTTGGATTGTTTTCTCTAGTTCTGTGAAGTATAGTGTTAGAATTTCAATCAGCATTGCATTAAATCTACATAGCAGCTTTGGAAGTATGGCCATTTTCACTATATTGGTTCTTCCTACCCAGGAGTAAGGGATGTCTTTCCATATTCTTATATCCTCTTTGATCTCTTTTCAGAGTCCTGTAGTTTTCTGTGTAGAGGTCTTTTGCTTCCTTTGTTAGATTCATTCCTAGATATTTCATTTTTTGGATGCTATTGTAAAAGGAATTTTTTCCCTAATTTCTCTCTCAGTGAGTCTGTTATTTGTATACAAGAAGGCTATTGTTGATTCCACGCTCCTAGGGCAGAGAAGGTGAGCCAATCTCAGTGTCCAGGAGGAGGCTCCCCCACCGCCATTCCATGTTCCTAGGGCAGAGAAGGTGAGCCCCCCCCCCATGGAAGTGAGAAGACACGTAAACAAGCCTCAAAAACAGACTTCCAGATCACCTACAGCAACCCCAAAGGGAAATGAAATGGAACAATCTGATACTTAAGCACCTGGACTCCCTGAACTGGCAACAAAAGAGGATCTGGAAAAAATAAAATCAGAAATAATTTCTCACATAACAGCAGCGATTGTGCCCATAGTTCAAGACCTGATTAATAAATCTAGAGAGGACACAGATAAAAAAATAGAGGATCTGAGGAACATGATGGAATCCCAACATAGGAAACAAATGGAATC